TTATAAAAAGTTTTATTAGTAATATCTTTCAATTTTTTATAAAAATTTTAATCAGACATGCAAATCATATGACAAATGATCTACATTAGACTCTATCCTTAAAAAAAGCTATTCAAAGTCTCTTATATTATAGTACAAGTTTTGTTATATAAAGTAACTACTTATTATATCTTTTTTTTATTATTATGTATGTATAAATTTTTGATAATACAAATTTTTATATAACTAAATATACTATATATTTATTTGCATTATATATATATATAATTTTATATTTTAAATTTATATTTAATTTAGCAAAAAACAAATTCATTTTTTGTTAATACAAAATTTTATTATATAATTAAATTAGTATTTAAATTTTATTTTGGAGTATTTTTTTTTTTTTTTTTACTATAGACAGTCATACTAATACTTTATTAAGATTCTTGCAATTGCTACAATTACATAAATTTACCTAACAACTAAGTCTAGCATTACCTGGCCACCCTAATAGTGCTTAAGTACAACCTGTCACATTACTTTAAGCAAAAGTAAACTGCTCATCTAACTACTTAAAGTCCATAATAAAAGGATCTTTCTCCTTTCACGACAGCTCCAAAATTGTCTTTTTAGCTTTATCTTCAATTTATTTTTTTCTCTTCTTTAATTATCGAGCAAGAGGATTCTATAATCCTTGCCTAAAGAACATCAAGATATAAGAAAGGAAAACTAAAAGGAAGTAAAAAAAGAGGAGACTAACTACAAAACCTAAACATAAACAAAAGAAAAAAGAAAAAGATAAAAAAAAAAGAATAATGAAAAAACAAAAAAACATGAAGGCACTATTTTTGCCTGTGCCAGGCTTTAAAAATTCTATATAATACTAAATAAAGAATATCCCACATTTGCTTTATTTCTATATTATAATATATTCCATTTATTATGTAGGGAGAATGGTTGAAGTTTTTATTTTTCTTTTGAGTTTGATATATGTCATCTATCATAAGTCTGATACTCATCTTGTGGTTTTTTTGTAACTAATGTTACCAATTTGGAAAGGTAAACAATGTCGATCCTTTGAAGGAAATACATCAGATTTCCTACTTTTTGGTAAAAATTCCAAAAAAAAAATCTAGTAGTAAGGGCAAAAAAAGAGCCAACTTGAAAAGGAGTTGTAAGAGTTATGCTATATAGAATATTATATTAAATCAAGTAACTATTTAGGCCTAAGCCCTTATAGCACTTAACAAAGCTCTAGAGCTTATCTACTACTTCTTTGCTTGGTAGTACTCATGTTTTATCAAAAAACTTTGCTTACAAGGGTTCGAATCTTTTTTAGCTCTTTTCAGTTACAACCAATCATGTAGTAAATAGCTTCTCTAGTTATCTAAAATAAAGTTTTGTTATATTTAAATATAATAACTATATAGTTTCATAGGTCAGACTTTTAGAAAAAAGTTGATATGAGGGATTGTTAGAAAGAGTTTTGTGTATTTACTTGTTTTGGAGTATTAAAATAACATTAAATTATCAAATTATGCATAGATAATTTAATATTTAATTATTAATTTATCAATTATACAAAGATAGTTTAATATTTAAACTTTATTTATTTATTTAAGCAAAATATTTATTATTAAAAATTCTTTTATTCTTATTTAAAATGTTTAACAAAACTTCTAATTTAAATATATTTATAATATTAATGAACTTGATGCATCTTCTAATAATTTAGATAACAATACAAAAGTCAAATAGTATATCCATAAAACACAATCAAAATAAAAATAAAAGAATAAAACAAACTACAAAAACCAAAAGTTGATTCAAATACTGAAAAAAGATATATAAACATTCTTATTGCAAAAATTTTAGATGTAGATTCAAGTTTAATTAAAGAATGCAAAGTAATTTATAAATAAAATGTTTCCAATTTAATAATACTATTGAAAAAAAATCAAAATCTTTTTTTTATAATAAAAATTTCTTTGTGATTTAAAACAAAATAGTATCTATTTAAAAAAATTAGTATTAAATATATTTTAAATGAAGTTCAAAAAACATGATTTAAAGAGGCCTTTAATGGATTTCTAGAGTTTTATAATACAGCTAATGATTGGGTTTATTATGAAATACTTTAGCAAACAATAAACTCAAAAAATATTATAAATTTTATAATAATTTTATTTGTTTGTATCATAGTAATAATATTTTTATAATTATAAATATTGGTATTTTAATTTTTAAAATTAATTATATAAGACATAAACCTAAACAACTATTATATACAACACAAAAGTGACCAAGAAAAATATTTGCAAGAAGAAAAAATTAATTTTAGTAATATTTGTTTATTTGTCTTTTTTTAAATTATTAATTTAATATTATAAAATATATAATAATATATATATAAATAGATGATATACAAGATCAAGAAATTAATACACAGGATCAAACTGATAATGCATAAGATCAAGTTCATGATCAGAAAATAAATAATATACAAAATCAAGATTTTATTAATGAAATACAAAAAACTAATAATTCTGAAACTAATAATGATAATAATATTAATAAAATATATTGTAATGATTCTAGTCAGAACTATCCTAGAATTCTCTATTCATAGGATAGCCGATTGATTATTAGTGTAATATAGAATGTCACAACACTTGAAAGAGGCATTGGATTTGGCAAGTATAATGTGAGTATTTATTACTATATTCTATGCCCCATTCTATTCTATCTAAATGCATTACTTATATACTTTTTCTCTATTTGCTAAATGTGCTACTTATACTAAATATACTAATTATACTAATTACATTATTTATGCTAATTGCACTTTATATGCTATATATGCTATATACATTATATATACTATATATATTATATATGCTATATACACTATATATGCTGTATATGCTATATGCTGTATACACTATATACATTATATCTATTGCATATATTATATTTACTAAATATACTGTATGTGTGCCCAATTTTCTACATATTATCAACGATCCTATTTTGGATCATAACAATATGAATCTGTAGATATAAAGGTTAATAATATTCTTAATGAAGCAGAAATGTCTAATGATAGTTTAGAATATAATAAAAAAATCAAAGATCTAAAAGAAGTTAGAATTAGAAAATAATTTATTAATTTTATATGATATCTAATTATATATATCTTTATAGTAAAAATTTTAACTACTAATCAAGAGTTTGATAATAAGAAAAATCAAGATCTTGAAAATAGTAAGATTTAAAGTTAATAAATTTTTTTTAATTATTATTTATTAATATATTTTTTTATTTAATATATTTCTAAAGATAATACTTTGAAATTAGACAATGTTCTCAAAGAACCTTATATCTTCAAACTACTAAGAATATATCAAAAAAAAATATCTTCAAAAAAAATTCAAAAAATCCAAAAAATAAACTTAAATAAATATTCACAAAGAAATAATAATATTAGTAAGTAAAATTAGATATATAAAATTTCTTTACATAATAATAGTATTAATTTTAATACTAAAAATAAAATTTATAAAAATTATATATATTTTATAAAACTATATTTTTAATATAGAAACCTTATAGTTATAAAGTAAAAGTGAAGACATTACAATTATATGCATATTTTATATATTATATAATTTATTAATAATATTTGATTAAAAATAAGTTTTGAATACAATATATAAATTTAATATATAATAAAATATTATTATTAAATATAAATTCATTATATTAAAAATATAAAAAATG